TGTGTCGTCGGCATACTGCACCAGGCTAGATGACAGATGAAGCTGTAAGTCATTAACAACATACAGCACAAATAGTTGCGGTACTCCTGAAGAAACTGGCAACCAAGCTGAATTGACTCCCTTGTACACAACTCGTTGCTCGCGTTTTGTCACAAAAGAATCTATCCAGTCTAGAGCAGCATTGCTGATATTATAACACTGGTGAAGTTTCCTGATGAGGAGGTTGTGAGATATGGTGTCGAATGCGTGACTGAAGTACAACAAAATAAGGTCCACAGCTGGTACTCTTGCGTCCAGTGACCTGAGCCATTCTGAAGATGTCAATAAAGGTGCCGTTGTGTACTAATATACATGTACTAAAATGTGTGCATTAACCCTCCTATGCAAACATACATTCTATTTAAAGTTGTCCTTTCAGTTAAAATCAATAAAGTGACTGTTTTTAACAGTTAAGGATTGATTTGCTGTGACTGTTTATGTAACTTTATACAGCTATGCTTGACTGTATGTGATTGATAAGCTAGTTGTACATGTACCTACCACTTGCCTACTTTTGTCTGTTAACTGAATTTGACTAGTTACAGTGCTTGCTTAAAATACATATATGATCTGACTGTTGGTGACTAGCCTGTGTAAAAGGCATGGAATGGGAGATTGATTGTTTTTCTACCGTCTGTGACTGTTCGCACAGCAGGAGAAATAATATATGATCATGACAGTTTTAAATTTATGCAAATTAGGTACCCTTGCAAAAAAATCAGTGTCATCCCTTCTCAATATGATTTCTAAGGCCAAAAAAGTAAACATGCCAAATTCGGTGCATTGGACCAGCAGGGGATGATACAACCCATACATGTAAGCAGTTTGTTTGGACAGCCATTATATTTTGAACCTTGTGCTATTTTTCATTATTTGGGGATTTTTTTTCTGATTCATCATGAGGTGATATTTCTGTGCACTTACTAGGTATAAGTAATTGGTAAATTTGGCCTCCACACAGCCCATGTGTGTGTGTCTTGGTTTTGTTCCCAACTATACCTTATTCTTTTTAAAGATATCGAACCTGAGTAAGTTGCAGATGATTGCCTTTCATGTCCCTCTCCATCCTTAGTAAGTGGTTGGCTGTAACGTCTTCCAGGGAGTGGGACACCAGTGTTCTCTGACAGCGAGCGGTAGGTGTTGCTTTGCTGGTCCCGCCCAAATCGGAAATCAGAACTCTGAACAGGAAAACCATTAACAAAAAGTTATTAAAATTCTGCACAATCTTAGCAATGAAACTTAAAGCTAATCATGAATTAACAATAGAAGTAGCCACCGATAGGCCGCATCCACTTTACTTTGCTACGGCTGGATACAACACACACGTTTCTATACGAAATGGCTGCATCCACTTCTATAGACGTGTGGTAATTTCCAGCTGTAGCCAAGTAATTCCGATGCAGTGTTACACTGTGTTGAACCTACATTTATAACTGCAGTTAGAATTCAACTTCATCAGCCTTGAACACAGACTAGCCATTAGATAACTTATCTCACCATACCCGTGACCCGACCAAATTGACCTATCGCCGTTTGCAAGTTAGCACACGCCCCTTAGACAACCCTATGGATTTTTTGTACGCTAAGTTTTGTTCATCTCTGATGTTGCATGTTCCACGTCCATTTGTATATCATGTATTTGGACAATATTTCACAATCTCCGTCAGTGTGAGAGGTCTTGAGGCCGGCCTCAGCCTCAAGGCCGATTTTCATGGCCTCGGCCTTGGCCTCGGAGTGCATGGCCTCGGCCTTGGCCTCGGAGTGCAAGGCCTCGGCTTTGGCCTCGGAGCCTTCCGACGACGAATCGGTCGAGGCCGCCCACTTTGATGTGTTATTTCAATTAATTTTAATTTTTACCATATCAAACCTTGGAGAATCTGCCACAGTGGGTTCCGTGAAACTAAAGCAGATACGCACGAATGAACAAACTGGTTATGCGTTGCATTGAACGTACTCACGTATAATGTACGGGGACAACATCACATCTGAGGATCAGAACAGCAAATCACAGGGCACCTCGGTTATTTATGCTGAGTAAGATATGTAAAGCAGCCGCCGGGTCAGTATTACATTCTGCATACACAGTACAGTCCGTAGACCAAAGGCTGTTGGATGTTCTACTCGGCATTAATAATCGAGGCGCCCTGTGTTTGCTGATCCTCGGATGTGATTTTGTCCCCACATAATTTATGATACGGCCATAGCGCAAGCGCGGCACGTGTGTACGTTAATGAACTGGGTAATTTTTTGTGTGTACACATTCGGAGTTGCACGAAAAATATCTCTTTTATCTTGTTCGACTTGATTCTTTTCTCAATTTGCATGCATTGAGGATAAATCTACAGTCATAGGTGACTTTTGTTTTGTAATTTGAATGGACACTTCACTTGGCACTTCACATGCATTGAGAACTGCAAAATTATAATTCATCTTCATTAGCCTTGTAAAAACACTAGCAGACAGATCATTTTCACCCACACATATATACAATGAAAATTTACATATTAATGGCCTATGTACGGGGCACAGGGAAAAACGGAGAAACACTGGTTCGTATACTGGCTTGGAAAACTATACAACTGGAAATAAAAATGTGATTATAAAGTCACCCGAATGCAACTTTGTTTTAAAAAATTAAAATATGTTAATGTGGTCTTGGTCTGCACCAACTTCGATCAGATCAAAAACAAAGTTGCATTGTAATAAGAAAAAATAAAAATAAAACAAAAAAAATCATTAAAAATCAACTGATGATGTCATCATGACGTCATTTCAGATTTTGCATACTAGTGCTATTATCTACCTATCCACTAAGTTTCGTGACGATCGGACCTTCCCTTACTTGTGTTTTGAAAAATCGCATTATGACATCATATCACACGTTTCAAAATTGTGTGCATACATGTATATCTATTCCCTAACAACCATAATACAAACTACCGGGTAAAGATACTATGTCTATTTGCAACAGAACATAGGGCTTTTTCGCATTATGTTTAGTAACATTTGTCACTGTGGTATTGGTTGCACAATGTACTAAATTTGAAATCAATTCGATGAAAGTGTAAAATTTTGAAAGCGGAATAAAATTTGAAATATTAAAAAAATCGTAAAAAAACCCCAGATGATGTCATTGTGACGTCATTTCAGATTTTGCACACTCGTGACACTATCTACCTATCCACCAAATTTCATGACATCTACCTTTCCCTTATATGTGTTTTCAAAAATCGCATTTTCGATGACGTCATGATGACGTCACACATTTTTCAAAATTTTGTGTATAAACCTATTATCTACGAACCAAATGCAAAAAGAATTTTGAATTGAGCATGTTGCGTTCTTGAGATATGGCTTAAAGGTCAGAAATTCCATTATTCATATAAAATCGCACGATGACGTCAGAATGACGTCACCTCAATTTTTACCTGTAACACATCCCAGTCTATCTACATACTGAGTTTCAACCCAATCGGACATATACATTGTATTTCTGTAGATATAGGACATCAAAATATACACGTTTGAGATGATGTCACGTGACCCATGATGACGTAATCATGACGTCACGCTTCGGAATTTGAATGATGTACGACAAAGATAGCCTAAATGCCAAAAGTGGCGTGTACTAAAATCGTGTACAAAATCAATGGGATTTGCATGGAACAAAAAGAAAGAAAAACTAGAGATACTTTGTCTGTTTGCAACAGAACATAGGGCTTTTTTGCAGTTTTTGTTTTATATTTTGTATTAATGACGTCATGACACCTTTCTCACGATTTGCCAAACCTATTGTAAAAAAGAAATGAATTTAATGTGTTTTGTTTATTACTTAAAAGTTGGTATGGTTTCAAACTGAAATAACTAAAAGCAAAGGATGTGCTTGCTCCTAGCATGAAACAATAATTGTCAAAATAATGTTCACTTAAGGCAATAAACTAAAGGTGAAGGTGAAACTTAAGGTAAGTTAGGGTAAGGTCTGGTCACTTAAGGTAATAAACTTAAGGTAAGGTGAAACTTTGACACAACTCTAGTCACTTAAGGTAATGAACATGAGATAAACAGTTGCAGGCATACTTCAGTAAACATCTACTTCGCTGGCAATTTCAGTTCACTATTTGACTCTAACCAAATGATTTAAATAAAGATCTCTCACCGTACCTCTGTACACTTTACATACACAATGTAAAACTGTTTTACATGCAAAAGGTTCTCATGAAAATAAACACAACTCTGACTTAAGAGTCTTAAAATACAAAAAAGGGTTTCAGTAACTTTAAACTTTAAGTAACTTTAAACAACAGTTAGTCAAGCAACAACTTTAAATAAATCACGCCCTCAAGGTCATGAAAACAAAACTTAAGTTGTAGTTCTTAAGGTTCTTGATCAAGATGAAACTTAAGATGACTTTGCAGATACATAGCTACTGAAGAACAAAACCGGCAGTGAAGTTGACCTCGTGGTTCTCTCAGTGATTTCTTCGGAAACTTTCACACCGTTCTGGAACCTTGATGTGGTGTGCACCTCCTTGACACGCCGGACCTTTCCAGCCATCATTATCTCCAAGTCGGGGGTGCTGACAGGTACTGCACGCTGTGACCCACATTCATCTCCATGGATTTTGAACACTCTGGCTGAGGCTGGCTTGGGAGATGAGGTGTCCTGCGCAACACCAGTCGCAGGATAAGTGATGTGGTGCTTCTTCTCCTTACACTTCAGGGAACTTCCTTCAAGGACTCGCCCAAGGCTAATCTGCTGGGAAGGGGATACGGCTGCGGTATTACTCGGCTCACCATGAAGCACAACACGCACATCCTCCTCGTCCTCACTTCCACTCTCGGACTTCAGATCTTGAACCATGGACATCATTCCCTTCGGCTTTCCACCAGATCTGTGTTCCAAGGATTGCTTACGTCCTGTGCTTACGTCACTTCTGTAATTCTGATCATCTGAATCTTTGATTAACGATATCGCTGAGGTGGCCGCCGCTGGCGCAGTGGGTTCTTTCTCGCCCGCGTTCGGCTTTGCCCTGCCGGCGCAGGTGCTGTTTCAGTTCTAGCCGGTACTGAGGGTTGCACATGTCCCGCCTGTGCCTCCGGTGTCAAGTTCTCTTGAATTGACTCCTTACTTCCCATCAGCTCATCTGCTCCTGCTAACTCCTCTGTTTCAGGGAGATTGGCTTCCTCAAGTGACTCTACTTCAGGTGAGGCCTGTTTTTCCTGGTCACTACCTTGGCTCACTTCACTTATCTCTTGTAGCTGAGTTTCTGGAGAAACTTGATTTTCTTCCTCCTGACTACTTTTGGCCCAAGGCTTCAATGGTTTTCCCTCATAGGGCTTGAGGCGGTCACTGTGGACAACCTTCATCTTTCCCCCACTCTTCTGTTGAATCCTATAAGTCACGTCGGATAGTTTGCCCAGTATCAGGTATGGACCTTCCCACCTGCACATCAACTTTGGAGATACCCCTTTCTTTTTGGCTGGGTTAAACAACCAGCAGAACTTGCCCTTGACGAACTGTTCCTTGCAGACGTTCCTGTCGTAGTGGCGCTTCTGCCTCCTGGCACTCTTCGCAAGGCACTTACGGGCTCTGTCATGAGATCCCTGCATCCTCATCTGCATCTCTTGGGCATAGTCCAAGTCTTGCGTCTCCTCCTCTGCAGATGGTTCCTCAATTGTCAGATCGATTGGAAGGGAATCTTCCCTGCCAAGCATGACCATGTTGGGCGTTTCCCCCATTGATTCCTGTGGAGTACTACGGTACGCCGCTGTTGCAAAAGGCATTGCTAAAATGTTCACTAGTGTCCGATTGAAGGATCTTACAAACTTCGGCAAGTAAGTTCGCCTCAAAGTTCCTTCCCTGGTCGGTGTGCAACATTTTGGGAACTCCAAACCTGCACACGAACTCCTCGACAAATCGCACCGCAACAGTGACCGCCTTTTCATCAGTGATGGGATACGCTTCAAACCATTTACTGAAGTAATCACCGATCACAAGGATGTATCGGTTTCCACTGTTTGTTACAGGGAAGGGCCCAAAAATATCCACAGCCACTCACTTGACAGGTACCCCGACTAAATGTTGCTGTAGAGATGACTTTCGCTTCTTGCTCGGCGACTTTCTCTTTGCACACAAGTTGCACTGCCTAATGAAGGACCTGACATCAGCACTCAGGCCCGACCAATGGAACTTAAGGCGTACGTTAGCCATGGTCCTTTTTGTACCCAGGTGACCGCTTGTCCTTCCTTCATGCATCTCCCGCAGTATCTCCTCCCGATACTCTTGTGGCACTAAAGTCTGCCAATGCACCTCCCGTCCATCGTGGGACTCCCACCGACGCTACAAGATCCCTTGTCGGACTGTCAATTGTTCCCATTGCAGCCAGTAATTCTTCACAGCCGTGGATTTTGGAGAAACTATCTCCCAGTCCGGGCGTGTGCCTGACTCTTCCTTAGCCTGAATAAGCCAGTTCATCTGTTTGTCCTCGAGCTGAGCCCTTCTCCAACCTTCCTTTGAGATTTGGGGTTGCACCCCCACCACGCTTAAGTCTGCTCGAAATTCCGCGTCTTGATCTGACGTGTCCATCACAACACTTCTTTCCATAGATTTCCTTCGTCTGCGTCACTGCTGATTTCGTCTCTTCCGCACTGTGAGCAGGGTCTGCTTGACAGGCTATCAGCATTCTGGTGTGACTTCTCGAAATCAAACTCTCCCATGATCTGCAGCCAACGCGCTGTTTGTCCCGTCGGGTCCTTGAAGTTTAGAAGCCACCTCAAGGCTCCATGTCCTGATTGTCATATATGTACTGTCTGAACTGCCTCAGAAAATTAACAACAGCAAGCAGTTCCCTGGGCATAATGCAATAGTTTTGTTCTGCTTTCTTCAGAACTCTGCTGGCGTAAGACACAACTCTCTCTTGGCCGTCCTTTACCTGAGACAGAACTCCTCCGATCCCTAAAGCGCTGGCGTCAGTATCCAAGATGAATTCCAACTTAGGATCAGGATACATCAAAATCGGTGCCCTAGTAAGTCGTCCCTTAAGTTCCTGAAACGACTCTTGGCACTCCTCTGTCCACTCAAATTGCCTTGATTTTTCAGTCAGACATGTGGCAGGCTGGTTGCTAATTCGCTGTGTATATCTGCATTCTTTTCAACCGATTATGCTAGTGCGCACGAACGCCCAGAGGTTTCTTTTTTTTGTAACTTTAAGAAACGTGTTAATGTCAGCAAGTCAAATTTATTTGAGTCAAGTCAAGTCACAAGTCATATTTTAAGTCAAGTCATTAGTCAAGTCTCAAGTCATTTTTCCCCAAGTCAAGTCAAGTCTCAAGTAAAAACAAATAGCGACTACAGTCTGTCTCGAGTCCGAGTCAGCGATTCGAGTCAACAACACTGCAATTAAATCTTTAGAGTCGTTAGTATAATATTTGTATGATATTTCTCATCCAAATCTTATATCTTGCAACACTACGAGGCTCCGCCATGCATGGAAAATATTCGCCATGAATAATAGGATCCAGAGAATTGAAGAAAAAAAAAAAAAAAAAAACAACATCACATTCATAATGATTACATCAACTGAGCACGGAACTTGCGCCCATTAAAGTTACGTACCACCCTCCTAAGGTGTGCATAATGAATGCAGGAGAAAGCCCGTACGGTGTTGGGAATTCCAATTTCACTGTACACACGGTACATTGTAACTGCAGTTTGATGAATGTTTTAAGTCTAGGCACATTCAGCCTGACATATTTAAGGGTGCCGCAGGGCATGTCACAGTTCGGTTATTGCCACGAAACACAAGTTTAATGACAATTGAACAAGCCCTTGTGTATCAAAGAAATGTCATTTTTGAATCAGAAGAGTTCTTAATATGAGTAAATTTGTTCAAAACGGAAACAAAAAACGGTTAAAGTCATGCTTGAAAAATCGTTGAAAAATATGAATTTTTGAATCAAATTAAATCTCATCAAAAATTGAATTATTGGTTTTTATCATGACTCTAGGTTAATTTCCCTCCATAACACGTGTTGGACTACGTTCAAACACGGATCCTTACACACAAGGATAAATGACTGTTCTGAGCTCCAGTACAAAAGCGGACTTGCCTTAATTGGTTGGACGTGTGATAAAGGGCATTAATATCCGTTGGCTTGTAATTGCAAATTTTTCAGGTGTGCCATTGTGCCGGGTTTTTCGCATGACATCGAAAACGGCAATATTCATAAAACTGTAAGCAAAACTACTCCTTTTGTAAGATGTAATTGTTAAAAAAATAAATACTTCAGGATATAACACGTGGTATTGCGCAGTGAAACCTCGATGCAAAAACAGTTCTTCACTTGCTCAGAATATTAAACTTAGTTGTTTTTGTAATGTATGCAGCTGCACATGAATTTTGTTCCACAGAGGGTATTAGCTAAAGGGAACGTATGAAATGGGAGGGAATAAAAACTAAAGAAAAAATGTGAAAGGATGAAACCAATGAAAGGCTCCAATTATCAAGGTTTGTGCGGAAACGGCCGAGGGGAGATGTGTTTTAAGTATCCAACTATTTTCCTTTTGCAAAGAGATTTACTTTGTATAATTTAAATTCATTGCCCTTGTAAAGAATATGTGATGCGATCAAGCTAAACGAGTCGTTTGTCCACCCCGGTCAAAAAAACGTTTTATTACCGATTTGAAAAGAGCACAATTACAGCATTACTGCTGTGAAAACCGCATGCTGATACCATCTTTAGTTAAAAAATTATGGAAGTCGGAACACCAAGAGATGTGATGAAGTGGCCCTGTTTTGGCCTGAATCTCCAAATGAAAATTCCTGACAAACGACTCATGTAGCTTGATCGCATCACATATCTTTATAAGAGACACATGAATAAGCACACAGAAAGAATATGTTTATCTGGAAAACATTTTATTTTAACCTGCGCTAGAAACAAGAAAAAATTTACTTCAAAATGAATTACTGGTGAACTGGAAGTTTGATATTATGCCCGAGTATAAAATATGTTAACATTAAATATTGAGAACTCCCCCCACACAGTAGTGTGGTTGGGGTCTACGAGCGAATACTTACCTGTAGAGCGAATACTACATATGCATTGTTCCCTATGCCGGCAGGCAATTCGCTAAGAGTTTTACATACAATAGCGCCCTCACGTGTCCTACCCACGACGCCCTGTGACATGCGCACTACGTTAGCGTCCTCTTTTTCTCAAGCGTTACTTGCGTAAGCACTCAAGGAATCGAGTATAGTGGGGAAGGAGGGAGGGGTGCTCTACAGGTACCGGTAAGTATTCGCTCGTAGACCCCAACCACACTACTGTGGGGGGGGGGGGGGGGGGGGGAGTCTACATCACTCTACTTACCTGTAGAGCGAATACTACATATGCATAGACTCGCACCGAGTAAGGCGGTGGGTATACGCAAATTATCGTATGTCTACAGGGGTGTAGGACATGAGGCGTGTCCAAAGGCAACAACACCAAACCAAAAACCTACACCCCAGACGCTCTAGGTTTCACCTCGTCAGGGGAACCCAAAGAGCTCGTGCGCAAAAAGTCAGGGGGGTGTAACCATTATGGGAATGAACACATGATAGGTACACCTAAGTAAACTTAATGCCCATACAAATATATATATGTATATTTATATGCTCGCCCGTTAGTGCTTCCGTGAGGCTCGACTGGCCGCTAGCAGCACTTCTCTTCCAGCCTTGCCATCTGCCTGGAGGACATCCTTCAGGTAGCATTCGGAGAACGTGTTAGGGTTCTTCCAGCAGGCTGCCTTGACGATGTCACCTAGGGGGACACCCTTAAAAAAGGCCCACGAGGTGGACACTCCCCTGACCTCATGCGCTCGAATGGGTCCCTGGGTCGCTGGCCAGCCGCCCGGTACGGACCGGATGGCTGTCACGATCCAGCGAGTGATTGTATCGCGGGACGCCGGCCCATGGGGCGGGGTCGTCGTGATGAACGATTTTTCGTGTCCCGTACGAAGTGACTTCGTACGGTTGACATACCACTTAAGTGCTCGAACTGGGCACCAAAGTTTGTCGTTTGTCTCGTTCGAAAAAGACTTGATGTCTGGGACAAAGATGTCTGGGGGCATAAAGGTCTCTGACTGGTTCTTTGCGAGAAAACCGGCCATAGGGATCAGGCGGACACCCCCCGGTTCCCACCGGATGTGTCCTGTCTGTATCGATAACGAGTGTAGTTCGCTACGTCGTCGGGACGTAGCAACAGCCAATAGAAAAGCTACTTTGATGGAGAGCTGTAACAAAGTTGAGCAATTCATTGGTTCAAAGGGAGCCTTCGCCAGTGTAGATAATACACCGAAGAGGTCCCAAGATGGGATTAATGTGCGTACTGGGGGACGAGTATTAAACATCCCCTTGATCAGTTGGCTAATTGCAGGGTTGCCGGAAACGGAGGAACCGTCCGAAAATCCCTGATGGATTGCGGCAACGGCCGATCGATAATTTTTTACCGTGGCCGTCGTGAGCCCACTGTTAAAAAGGTATAGGAGGAAATCCCCCACTTCCCCTACAGAAGTATTGGGGGATGAATGGATTGCCGTCTACGCCATTTAAAGAAATGGCGTAGTCGGCTATCGTACACCTTTCTGATTGTTGCAGCTCGTCGCGAAAGGCCTGCTGAGCAGAGGGATCGCGTGACAATACCCAGTACGTCAGGTGAAGATCCCCCGGAGCCTGGTGATTGATTCCCGAGCTGGGCTGATAAAGGAGATCGGCCCTCCTCGGTAGAATTACCGGGCGGTG